TTCTTGATGGAATATATCAATACCCAAGTTTTAGCTTTGCAAATTTTGTGCATTATTCATCACTCTATAGTTCTCTGTAATACACTTATTTTGTGCATTATTCATCAATACTAAGGATATCTCAAGTTAATGAATTAAACATGCATGCATGCATTCAGATCATTTGTACAAAAGTCGGTTTATATTAATGGAGATGTATATATAGGCCTATAGGGCATATGAATAGGCACCATTGAAATTGAATTTATCATTGCACTTGTAGTCTTTTCTTATCATTGCACTTGTAGTTTTTTCTTCTAATTAAAATCTTTCATCAATAGTTGAATTTGTCATTGCACTTCTAAAATCTTTCAAACTGATAATTTTAAGAATATTTCAACGTGAAAATTGCTTAGAGCCAAAACCATCTGTATGAAAATTGCTTGAATCCTGTATGATAATGAAACATTTCCCACCTATTTTCTTGATATTATTTTGGAGCATAATCAATTACTTAGGTAATTTTTCCCTATAATAAAGGTTTTTGGGCCTGAAAAGTTGGTTCTGCACTCCTTGATGATGATGAGACACAATGAGTTGGGCTCATATAACATGTAAGGATGTGGAATTTGATTGTTGGCCCAACCCAAATGCTCCTTGAACTTGTGATCCTTACGTATTCCTGGGAAAACCTTCAAGGTCAAAAGTTAAAACTTGTTAAATTTGAAGTTTTATCCATGAAACAAACGGGGTCAAAAGTCCAAGACTCCACAACCTTCAAGACTATTTTTGTAAATCATTCATTTTCAAGTAACTAAAGAGCAAAACTCTATGACTGAAAAAGAGACGAAGAACAAAGAATCTATACACATGAAGGGTGTCAATGGATGAGTTGGGTTGAATTTGAATAGATCAAAATGGACCGATCAATAGTATGTCAAAAAACTATTTGGGCTAAAATAGATGGAACTAAAATGAGCTGAAGAGCGTAACCCAACTCATTCAATTATATTTGAAACTATGTTAATAAAAGATAGGAAGTGTTGTTATATACAATTTCACTTCAGCTCCTATACAATATTTCAACTTCTTTGAATAAAATGTACTCTTATTTTCTTTGAAAGTTCATATTTATTTATTTTGGTTTTTCATCTGGTGTTCGGTATCCAAACTAAATTCGGATTCGCGTTGGAAGTCCCACATTGGGGTAAATCGTTCCCTAACAAAGGCGACTCCGTACCCATGAGACTCAAAGCCAAAACTTCTGATTAAGGATGAATGAGTACTTGTCAATGCTTGTGTACCTTTCATTTTTATCAATCAAAAGGAAAATACCAGCTAAAAACCTTTTCATAAATAATCATTATGAATAGATTTATGGTGAGTGAGTGAGTGAAAATAAAATGCGTAATTTACTTCGAAATTACAATTGTTCATTAAAATGACAAAGAGGAAAATATATTAAAAGAAGCATTTATTTATTTTCTTAAAAAAACAATCTTTAAACTTGTGAATTTATCTATCCAATCTTCATTTTATAATAAGTGTATGTATGTGTACTTCTTCATTTTGGTTCAATATAGTTTGGTGTTTCGTAAAGTCAAGAAGACCTTAATTTTTTAATTTTATTTAAATAAAAAAAATCTTACATAACCAAAAAATCATTAAAGAACTACTTCTTTTCTTTTAGAAGTGAATAATTTGATGTGCACTAGCTAAAAACACCAAAATACTAGTTGCTTCAATCCATTTTACTTGTCGTACTTACTAAAAATAAATAATTTAAAATAGTTGTCATCTTGAAAAATCAAGGTATTATTAATTGTTTGTTTTCCATCTTTTATTTATCTTGGTCATAAATATGGAAACATATTAATGTGGTGCAAATGAGAGAAGTATTTGCTCAATTCATACTATGCGAAAAATAGATGTTCATTTTTACTTGTATAGTTTGAAAATCAAATTTATCACTTTAGTTCCTACCTTATTGATAACTATAGTCTTCTCTCAATGCATTTCTCAAACTATTGAATTAATTATATTCAAAGAGTGATATAGTAAAATTGACATTCTATTTATTGCTCCTTAAAGAATGTGTCAAGTCAATACTTGACAAATACAAATAGATGGAGATAATATTAAATTGGGAAAAGTAATAAGTAAATAAGAATAATTTAGTTAAATTATTGTTTAATTAAAATTTTATTAAAGAGTGCAAAACAAAACATGATAAGTATCCATTAATTGCCACACTTTAAGTTGAGTTGTAGAGAATGGAAAGTAGGGAAAATGTCATAATGATATCTCGAATTCTCGATACGAAGTGGATAGCTCATTGCCCATAAGTCAAAGAGGAAAAGAGCAAAAATAAATTAAAATATGGATTTTATAAAAAAAATTCCTTTTTAAATTTGGTGAATTTATTATTTTATTACTTTTTAAAAAAAAATCTTTTTGGCGGTTCCATTCATGTTCATTGTTCATAGTTAAATTGGCAAAGTCAAAGAAAAGATCAAGTTTCTACATTGTCATGCAATCAAAACAACAAAGTCAATCACCTTTATTAATGGATAGTAAAATATTGATTTTTTTTCTACCTTACCTAATTATTTAATGGGGGATCAATAAAGTTTGCTACAGAATTTTTTTCAATAGTAGAGAATGATGCACTTCCTTTTTGAACATTCTGGAGGGTATATTTTTAAGTGATGGGTATTTTTATTACAGGTGGACTCAAAATCTGAAGACATCTAAGTTATTATAAGAGGCAGATGCATGTTAATCAAAATGGTATCACACGATATATTGTCTTTGTAGAAAATGTTATTAAAAACATAAAAAAAAACTAATGTACTACATAGATATAAATTAACCGATAAAAATAAAGTAACACGATTCATTATGTGGATTAATACACCTTAACTTCACTTTACAGACATCATAGATTTTCAAATATTTTTGATAAATATTATTTGAGTGAAATTTCACCATGTGTTTGGACATAATATTTGAGAAACATATTTTTATTTTATTTTTAAATATGATTTATACCCATAAGTTTTAAAAAATATCAAAACTAATCATAGGTTTGTAGTACATAGCAAGTTAGAAGCGTCGACGCAACAAGATTCATGACTTCCGCAACAAGTCAATTGGATCTTCGTTGTAGCAAATAACAAATAGTGTCCATGACACTAGAGCAATGTGATAGTTCGAAGTGAGTGCAAGAAGCATCATTCCATACATCATGAAGTAGACAAAGCACATGACTTTGTTATCCTAAGCTAAGGCTGGGCACCAGACCGAATTGTACAGGTATTGTTCCGGTCCGATAGTATTCGGGATGGAATGGGATACATTGAACCGGTACTCGAAACGGGACGGTATTGTGATTTGGTACCGTTATATCTGTTCATCCCGATTCCGGTCCGGTCCGTGAAATTGGATTGATTTTTTAATTTTTGTCATTGTTTTATACTTTTATTAGCATTTCTTTTTTGTTTATTTTTTAAAATTACAAACTTAATTAATCAACTTCAAATAATATAAGCCTAAAAACTTTAAAATTTATAAATTTAACAAATTACAAACTTAAGTTATTTAAATTATAAGTTATAAGTTATAACTTATAACATATAACTTATAAACTTCAAAAGATTCAAATCTTGAAAACTTATAACATAAACTCAAAAGCTTAAAAAAAATAACTTTATTAAACTTTAACTTACAAACTTATAAGTAAAAATTTTAAAAAAATATCTTTAAAATAAACTTAAGTAAAATTACAAATAAACATCATAAATTTCAAAACTTAAATACTTTATAAACTATTAAACTTAGAAAAATAAAAAAACATTCATATTTTCGTAATTCAAAATAACTAAAAAAAAAAAACTATTTTTTGAAATAGTTATATGTGCCGTCCCGTTTATACCATCCCGTTTCATTCCGCTTCTATCCCGGTATATAGTGGGACGGGACGGAACTGAGTTTCCATCCCGATAATTCTGGTCCGGTTCATCCCGGTACCGATCAACAACCCGGTCAAACCATCCCGGTCCGGTCTGGTACCGGTTCATTCCGGTCCGGTGCCCAGTCTTACGGCCTGAGCCGATTGTTCGTCATTTTCATCAACAATCATCTCATCACTGAATATTCCATCACTCCTTTGGTGTTCATGTAAAAGATTATGTAATACAACACAAACAACTACTATAGAGAGTGTTTTTGTAAAAGATAAAAGTTTGGTGTAGAATTTGAAATTTTAAAAGCTCCCAAATAATGATATTTGGCCGAAATACTAGTTTTTTCTAGTATTTGAAAATTTGGATTATTTACCAAAAATATTTACAAAATAATGACAAATTATATAAACAAACACTATTTGCCAAACTGTTTCCAAAATTTTACTTGAGAAATCTATGACCGAACGGGTCCTTAGTTCCTCAAACTTCAAAAGGGGGGCTTTCGAAGAGGTGACACGTAATTATTTCACCTTTTTGAGTTCACAATATTTTAAAAATGACGAAATTAGAAGGGTATTGCTATTCGTTGATGGGATTGCGTTTATGGTCAAGAACTCAAGTTATACACAAAAGTAAAATACAAATAATCTACTTCTTAGTCTAAGCTTTTATGAAAGTTTGATCAATTAATAAACAAGTTCCCAACGTGTAAAACAAAAGATTAGATTAAACAAATCGGACATACTTCATTATCGACATTTTGGCCAAAAGCAAATAATTTTAGAATCGAAAAACATTTTAAATTTTTTTGTATTTCAAGTTTTTACCAATTTATTTCTTGATGGAATATTTCAATACCCAAGTTTTAGCTTTACAAATTCAAGGTCGTGATTTGCTGTTCCTCAAGTGAGACCAAATCCCCATTGTCGAATGACTCAATTTCAAGTTCTCGCTTCCAACCCAGAGAGCACGAAACATAGTAGAGCTACTAACAGTTAGAAGCACATTTGCAGAAATTAGAACATCATCATATGTATGAGTTCCCTAAACAGTGAGTAACTTTGATCAATAATATATTAATCAATATAAGATAATGAATTCTAGCTACAATCTATATGTTAAATCAACTAAAAAAATATCAACTTTGAAATTAAGCTAAAATAAACTAATGATTATGCAGGTCAGGGTGATTATTTATGCCCAAACAAACATATGTTAATGTTAATTATCATGCCTTGAATTATCCTTATCCGACGTACCAAATTCATAGGATGAATCTTTTCTACAACTCCTAACTCGTAAAAGTCCATATAGCTTCTTGAACTCTCTGAGATTTTCTCTGCAAAAAATACCCGACTCACCCGTTTCCTCCGCGGTTCGAACCGACCCGCTCTCGCTCAACCGCCGTGCATGCCGAGTCGCCGCCCTCGACTCGGTGTTGATTTGCAGAGCTGAAATGACTGTTTTCAATGCCCGAGTCGGTGAGCTCCGGTTCGATATCATAATTTCGCCGATTTCAGCCGGGCTGAGAGCCGCCCCGGTTTGAAAAATCTCCTCTACCTGTGGGAAAAGCTTGTGATCTTTTAAACCCAAATGGCTATTCGCTAGGGTTTTGAAAGAGTTGAAATTACATAAAGGAAAGTGTATGTGAACGTCGATTCTTCCTGGACGGAGGACCGTCGGATCAATTTGATCTTTGTTGTTGATGGTGAATATCATGATTCGCTCTTCCCCACAACACGAGAATATTCCATCCATAAAGTTGAGGATTCCAGATAAACTTGGAGCTGTTGATTTGGTCCCAAGATAACTATCGAGATCTTCGATAACAATTAGCGTCTTGCTCGTTGTTTGTAACAGAAGCATTTTCAGATCCGAATCGTCAGTGACTTTAGATAAATCGACGTCGTACACGTCGTAGTTCAGCAAATTTGCTATTCCGGCGATGAACGTTGATTTGCCGGTGCCGGAAGGTCCGTAGAGGAGATAACTCCGTTTCCAAACTTTGCCGAGTCGGTGATAGTACTGTTTTGATTTTTGAAACGATTCCAAATCGGATTTCACCTTGTTTTTGAGATCCGTGTCCATCACTACCGTATCAAAAGTTGCTGGATGTGTGAACGGCACTGATCTCCACCGTCCGTTTCTCTGAGGTTCATTATCTACATTGACGAATAATCTCACCTCCTTTTTCCTCTGCTCAATTTCATCGAACACAGAGTGTATATACTGAAGGTAAGGCTGTAGAATTCGACGCTTATCCTTTTTCCTAATCTTCATAACAAGCGATTTCAAACCAGTAAATTCATTCTTTTCATTGATCCAGAAAACTCTAGCGCTGAGGAATTTGTCAACAACAATCTGATTTGAATCCAAAACGAGGCTAATTTCATTGGACTTATCGCCGGAGATTAGGTTGGTGAAATCAGAATCTTCAACACAGGGGAGCGAATTCAGATAAGTACAAACTTTTCGATACAATTGATTTTCCTGCATGTTGTGATTGAATTGCGGTACCCTGTAGAACTGATAGACATAACAACCATCCTCCAAAAACCTCCACCATTTTTTCACAATTTGCAGTAAAGAAGTTTTCAACAGAATCTTCAGAAACAAACCTGAAGCAATTATTGCAATCAAATACCAAAACATGATTGGAAAAAAAAAGAAGTAAAAATCAAACAGTGTAATGAAGTATGATGATGGAAAAGAGAATTTGAGGGGAAAATGATGATGAGAAGGTGGATGAAATCATGAAGGATGTTGTAATAATGAAAGTATATTATATACTAATATAAAGTAATGAGAAAAGCATAAAGAAATGAGTATAGTATAAATAAATTTAAGGGGATGGGGAATTGGCAGGTCACAGAACATTAATTATTTTAATGAATAAGTCTTTATTAATTTGTTTGTTTGAATTTAAGAGACGGCTTGCAGACTGGGACGGCATAATTTGCTAGGTTTAATTGGTCAAATGAGATTTATTTTATATCCTATTTTTTGTTTAATGATTTGTTTGTGGAAATTGATCTATTATAATCGTATTTGGTTAGAAATTAGAATTATAGAGGCACTAATTATGTAATAATACACCAATTCCTTTATAACTTATTCCATAAGTAATATATACTACATTTAGTAGCGAGTTATTAGGATGCAAGTTATTTATGTACTTTTTTCGTTTGAGAATAAGTTATATATTTTTTTCTTTTTATTCTATCAAGAAGATTTGATTTTTTTCGTTCAAAATTATCCTTGTTTTAATACATGAAATTTTACACCATTAACTTAAAAGAGTCACTTCTTTTTCCCTTCATTTTATGATAGGTAAGATAGTAAAACACTTCTTATTTTTAGGGGTGAGTAGTTTTTATAAGCAACATATAATATGAGGAAATCTATGTTTTATATTATACAACATATAAGGTGTCTTTATAAAATAATACATAAATTTTATCATAATTTAATCCTACACTATTACTAATATCGATATAACTTTAACCAGTGACCAAACTATTCCTTACAAATAAAATAGAAAAAGAAGAAGTCATTTCAATCTTCTATATATAAAAATAATTTTTTTATTATATATAGAAGTGAACGTTCTCTTATGAAAAGGACATAGAATTAAAAATAAATTTTTAAAGGACCGGAGAACAAAATCTTCCGTTTTCTTCGATGTGCTGCTTATCTGAGTAAACAATTTGTACATGTGAGACCAATTAAGGTAATACAATATTCTTTATGACTAGTAAACATACTAATTAATGTATTCTAGATTTCATTAGTGAGGAGGACTAGAGATTTATTTCCTTGTGATTTCCTATTAAAAGGAGTATATTTTTCAATCTTAATTATTCCAGGTGGTCATATTTGATTTTGACCAATATAATCGAAGCATCGTTTTATCCATTTCAGCAGCAATCCATGTACAAATTAAAAGTTGCGTTCAATATTCAAATTGTTTTATCCGCTTTATTATATGCTTGTATCCATTTATGTCTTTTACTGACATTCTTCTTTCTCTTTTCCCAATAAAAATAATGGAATCATTTACAGATTCGTTTTCTTATTTCTATGCACGGGAGGGGGAAGACTGAAAGACAAAAAAGAAGAAGGTATTTACAAATTACACATACTCATATTTAATTTTCACTTAGCTGAAAATGCATAGATGTCAATTAAAATAATCAGACATAATATATTAATGTGTCCTTTAACTTGACATCAACTAATATTTATGTTCCCTAATTTTGAATGTGCACAAGTATGCACTTAAATTTATATAAAATTGAATAAATAGATGCATTCATCCTACATGATAATTTTGTCTACATGACATCTTACATGTATTATGTCATGTAACATACGTGCATCTATTTGTTCAATTTTATACAAATTTAAGTGTTAGGATATATAGATGTCAGCTGAAGTCAAGTTAAAAAAACTTAAAATTTATGTATTATGTCAAATAAGTGTTGAAAACTTAAAATGCATAAGGTGTGTGTTATTATTATGTTTGGTATAAATATACTTAGTGTGAAGAATAAGCAGATGCGGGACTGTAGTATTAGGCTAAATTTGACGTTTGAAATAAAAGAATGTTTGGACAGTTTCAACCATGATATATTTTCAACAGCACCAAACTTTGTCCTACGACTTTTAATACTTTGAAATTAGATCCAGTAGGTCTAAGTTCAACAAAAAATAGTCTACTTGAAAATTCGTCTACATAATAAAGAGTTTTCACGTTATGTGAACTTTTTATCTGGAAATTAACGTGGATGAGTAGTGTATTCTTTTTGTTCTGTTTTTGGCCAAATTAGGCGTCTTAATGTTAAGACTGAAAGTCCTCCTCTCTTTTTTTTTTTCTTTTTTTTTTCAATTTGGCCATTTTGTATTTGAAATTATTAATTCGACTAATTTAATTTAGTGCCTTTACATATAAAAATTTACTAAATTCTATACTATAAAATAATGGCTAGAGCCTAGAAGCACACAGGTCTTTCTAGCCATTAAAATTCTATTAAAGGGTAATTTGATCATTTTGGTATTAAATTATTAAAAAGGAATTCTTAATAATTCATATATTTAGAAATTACGTAAAATTATAAATCATAATAATTATAATTAACAAGTTAAAAAGATATCTAAAAAATAGTAAAACATTTGATTGACTTTCGAAATTTCATCACCACCACATAAATTGGAATAAAGGGAGTAACATATATTATGTGAAATTAACTTTAGAACTATTATAAATTGAAATAATTAACAACTTAAATATCTAAAAACTCTATAAAAGGTTTTTGATTACTTTCGAAACTCCACTTATACCACATAAATTGGTACAAAAAGAGTACCATATATCACGTAAAAATTACTATAAATCACAACTTAAAATATTTGGTTGACTCTCGAAATTTCATATGTATATAGAACAGATGGATGGAGTAACATATATTATGTGAAAATTGGATAAATTATACTATAAAATCATAATAACCGACAACTTTAAACATATAAAAATTTAATCAACTTCACATTTCATTCGTGTCACATACATTTAACACAGAATGAGTAATTATGATCGCAGGCTCTGTATCTAATAGTTCTCCTAAAACATGTTTAAAAGTAGTCCATGTTCAGAACCTACTTGTCCAACCATACTCAAGGTGATAAGATTCAAATCAACTGACATCTTTTTTACCCAATAGCGAAGTCAGAGATTTTGTTAAGAATATCCAAATCTAATATATATGTATGAAAAATAATTTTTGATTATATTTCATACAAATTTTTATATATAATTTTAATTTTTTCGATTTGACCACCTTGAGTTTTATGTGGCTATGCTACTGTTTTTACCATAAAGTATTTTCCTGGTAAAGCAAGAAAACGAAAATTGTTTAGTTGATATTTGCATACATCATTGCAAGTACTAAATAAGATTCGGATCAATTGGTTTGGTGTGTCGTAGTATTAAAGCTTTTTGTCCAGAGTCTTATAACTGTTGCTTTGCATTTGTACATGAACACAGCAATGAGTGCCACAGACTCACAGGGCCCAAGTAATCCCAAAAGGCCAAAACTTAAAGAGGCAAAAGGACATGACAAAGCAGAAGCAAGTTCATTCTTCCCATGCTGACATTTCTTTTTGACATTTTGAATCAAACATTGATTAGCACTACAAAAAATACCAACTAATTTCAGGGGGGCGTTTGATGGTGGAGATGGGGGATACAATGGGTGGAGGTGAAGATGAGGTGCCTTAGAGGATGGGGAAGACACAATCAATGTAAACATGTTTTTCCTACTTCAAATAAGGGAGTCATTTTCCTAATTGTTAAGCAACTTCTTTTTTTTCCTGAAAATTCTTTTTCTCCATACCGAACACACCATAAAAGAACATGTAGACTCGAATGAAGGCTAAGCTTTTGGTATCAATGAAGTGGAGAAAAATCATACAAAGAAAAGTTGGAATTCACATTTCAATTAAGACAATAAAATTTAAGTAACTTAATTTTATCCGTCCAAATTTTGATGATATTGGTACAAGATAACAAGTGTGGTGAACAAAATAATTGATATAAAGAAAACGGTGCAGCCTTGCTAAAGTGATAAAAAGAGTAGTCACTGCCCATCATCCCTATAGAATTCAGCAATGATTGTTCTTGTTTCAATTGCTGAGATTTGATCAACTTTAGGATACACTAGGGGGCCTAGGCAATCAGCAGTTATGGGTCTTATGTCAAAGGATTCAATAACCTACACAAGTGTCCCAATTGAAGTCGAATACTATTTCAAATTACAGCAAAGTTCTGATCAACTGGAGATGAGATATATATATATATATATATA